CTTGGGCGGTGCTCGCGCCAAGGGCTGCTGTGGAAGGACTATGGCAAACCAGCGCTTGGCACTTCAGGAAGGACATGTATTCCAGAAACAGAGTTCCCTAGTCTTGAAAAGGGCCTGTGCTGTAACCTGTGCTTGTCCCCAAATTTCTATTTAAAAAAAAAAAAAAACAACACAAACCAAACACATTCCATGCAAATTTTGGTATGTTTCACATCTATGGCAAATAAAAATCGTACACTTCAACTATCTGATGGCATAGAATTAGATTTTAGTCTTAAAGGGGAGCTAAATTTTCTCATGGAAAGAAAAAACTGCATTGGTTTGTATGGAAAAAAAAGTTTTCAGAAGGTACGTAGGTACCATCTAGTCTGGGATGAAGCTGAGTTATATGCAGATCATCAATGAAGCTAATTAGTTGAGATAAAACTAAAGAAAAATAGAGCATTCAAAAACTGCCCATCATTTTCCAAAGCCACATTCTTTCATTAAAAGTTACGGCAGTTAGTCTTTCTATGTGGATTGTGGTCCAACAGGTCTGAACCTGAAATGCAGAGGAGACAAACCTGAGATGCTTCATCTGGCAGTGCTGAAGTGTAAGGCACCTGTCAATGTTTCAATGCTTTGCCTTTTAACTTCATTTCCTTTTGCTTTGATTTTATGGGACAGGCAAAATATGAACATTTAGTGGAACATCACTATGCTGTTGCTTCAATGTAGTACCCTTCTATATAGCCTTCTCTGTTCTCTTCCGTGCAGTGACGCTAAACCATCGCGTTACTGTTGTTTCGTTAAGAAAAACAAAACCAGACCAGAAAACGCACACAGAAACAAGCAAATGGGGAAAAACAGTAAAACTCAAGCAGCTGTCCACATTTTCCAACATTTGTGAACAGTGATATACAAATTATTTTAAAAACTGAAAGCTCCCCTTCACATCTCGTTTCTAAAATATTTGAGGCACTGTGAGGAGTAGTTTTTTGCCGATTGAATCCTGTACACGCTTTGCTACACTTCCTCAGGGAATTACTTGGCTTGTCTTTTGCTGTCCCAGTCCCGTGGTGAGAGCTCCATCTTCAGGACAGAGGATACAACTCAACCTTTAAATTTCATTTTCGACAGAGAAAGCTAGTTTATGCTAACTATACCGGTTAGAGACTTAACTAGTTCTTGAACTGAGGCTCATGTGGTATTTGAAAAGGTGAACTTCCAGCACGCAATTTTGAAAATACTGACCTAGTAACAACATGAACTAAGATATGGAAATAGTGGACTTACATTAAAGTCACAGTTTCAACATATATGGGATTGATAATCTTCGTATACTTCTGGTTTTGATTTGCTGATGGATGGATTGAAAAACAGTGTAGAATATATTGTCTAGGTAGACCAGCCACAAACAGGTGCCTACTTATTTAGAAAGAAAACTAGTCTGAAAGGATAGCAGCAATCAAACCCCATCATCTGCAGAGCAAAACAAAATTGCCATGAATTGGTTAACTGATTGTGCCTACTGGGACGATGCAGATGTTTAAACAAAGATGCGTATAAAAGATCAGTTAAGATATGTAATGTCTTGCTTATCAGAATACAGTTTCCCAATAGGTCAGCATATTAATCCATTGGATCACTGCATCGTGAATTTAAGACTTAAGCAACTGGGAACACTTCTCCCCATTCAAGGCAGCTGAAAATGTTGAGTAGTGGAAATGTGAAGACAGAATGGGCAAGGCCACAAAGGCAGGATATTCTCTTCTATTACTCCCCTAACTGGATTCCACTCCCTTTTCAAAGATTAAAGTATTGACAGAAAAGAGGCTCTGTATATCAGAAGGCTATGACAAAAAGTTGCATTAACTACTTGAAACCTGAGTTGAAAAAACTTTAGCTCTTTCAAAGACGCCAATCATTCACTGCAGTGATGATGCTGTGATCAATACTCTAAGCATTAAAATAAATAGATTAATAAGTAGTTTAAGTAATAAAATTACTCAAAACACTTTATTTTCAGTGACTTACTTCTTTCAGGAAAACAGTCATGCTGCCAAGAATCAGAAAACTTATTAGGCACACAGTAAAGGGATTAAGTGTATATTGAGACTTTCTTTAAGTCTCCAAATACTCAACCGTAACTAATATATTCAATTTAGCAAGGTAGTTTTGAAAGCAATTAGTTACAGTCATGGGTAAAAAAAGTTAAGGAAGTAATAGTTCTGTCCTCCAAGGCAAGGGTGAAAAAGCCAGTGTTAATAAAAGGCTTCAAAATTATGCCCATAGATATCAACTAAAATATGGCAACTAGTAATTGAAACTGAAAAATGTTTGTATTACATATCTGATATATGTTTGTACATGTAATATTAATTACATTTATTTTGGAATGTCTGGAAAATCATCTTTACTACTTTTCTACACAGAGAAGACATGTTCAGGCCAAAGCGAACACTAGTGTGCACGGCCTAAGAGAGAGATGGTCTTATAGAATGTGCTGCACCAGGTGTGAAAGGACACTTTGAAAACTCAACCAATTCTGAATAAGGTCTGCCTCTTCCTTCAGGAAATGTTAGGTAAGTTTAATTTGACTTAAATTGTATTTGCCTGCGGTCAAAAGCATTTCTGAAGTACCTTTTGGCCTTTGGAGTAGCATTGCTCTGTTTGGAGCTGTTAACTACCATCCCTCATGGAACTGAACCTCATCCTACTAACAGCAGCTTAAACAAAACAAACAGCAGATATACAGTATTACTAAAAACTGAAGGGGGAACGAAAATGGAAAATACAGTCAGTGAGAGTAAGAAAGTTTGATTTATACTTCTCTGATGCACAAGTACTCTCATGTCATCTTTTCTAGATTGCATGGCTGCTTTTTGTCCTGTGGACCACGCTACACGAGGCAGCAGCACAAAATAGTGGTCCTTAGCAAAAGACACCTGTCAGGACTGTTAGAGATACACCAACAGTTTCCATCTTAGACAGGAAGGTCTTCAAATCTTGTAACAAAAAGAGTGTGGTACTTTAATTTTTCTCTTTCTCACACCTTTTTCCTCATTAAGCTGTGAGGGCTCCTACAGTTCAAAATGCAACCATGTCCAGTGTTGGTAGCACTACTGTGAAAGTATACAGCATACCATGTGCGCACACCACATACGTTGTAGCTGTCAACACCACAGATCTGAAGTTGTCCAGCAAAGATTTCTACTTGCAGGTTACTAAGAAACTTTTTTTTCTCACCTTGTTCAGGTCTGTGGTTTATTTCAAGGAGTATTTTGAGTGGTTCTAATCTGAAAAATATCTGTTATTCAATGTACCTGTTATTACAGACATTCACTTTTCTGTGGACTAGAACTTTTCTGTAGGTTTTCACACTTTTCTGTAGACTGCAACACCTGCCAGAACAACCAATGAACAAAAGACAGAAAACATTCCTTCAGTTCAGCTGCAAGTAATCCCTGTAACCTGTGTAAACATATTAATAAAGGGATTCTCACAAAAGGAGAGATTACGTGAGTAAAGATTAAAGTTCAAGCCCCTCTAAATACATTATAAAGAGAATCACTGGTAGTCAACACTGAAGTTAAACATTGGTTCAGTGGTATATTTGGCATATCTTTAGTAAACATCTGCTTCTAGTAAAACTGTATCAGAAGGGACCTCTTTAGTGTTTTCACTGTGTTCCACGAAGTGCCATTAATGGCACATTAGTTAAACATTTTAAGCCTGCCAGCACTACGTATCTCACCTATTGCCAATAAAGTTTTCCAGCAACGAATTTTCCTAGCATAGATGAGTTTTATATCATAGAATCATCTGGTTGGAAGAAACCCTCAAGATCGAGTCCAACCATTCACCCTGCACTGTCAGGGTCCCTAAACCATGTTGCTCAACACCAAACCCCCACGGTTTTTAAACACCTCCAGGGATGGGGACTCCACCACCTTCCTGGGCAGCCTGTTCCAATACTTCACAACCCTCTCTGTAAAGAAATTTTTCCTGATATCTAATCTAAATTTCCCCTGGCGTAACTTGAGGCCATTCCCTCTCGTCCTGTCATTCATAACACGAGAGAAGAGACCGACCCCCATCTCCCTACAACTTCCTTTCAGGTAATTGTAGAGAGTGATAAGGTCCCCCCTGAGCCTCCTCTTCTTTAATGTGACCTAGGAAGCTTCAAGTTTTTTTTAAAGTTACCTTGTGGGGTTTTGCATCTTCAGAAAGTCTAGAGAGATTCTGTTGAAGACATTCTTATGTTAGAAACATGAAGCCTACCCTTCACTGCCAGATGTACCCTCCTGCTGTTATTCAAGTTGATGTAATGTAGTGCAGTTGTCCTTGAGAAGGTAGTTTACTAGCTGTCCCCAATAAGGTAGGTAAGCAAAACCCAGGAGTTCTATGAATGAAACTTTAAGTAACAATAAAAAAACTCCACTTAGATATGCTTTTAAAAAGGACAAAAAACTTACCTATATGAAAGTGTGTTCTTTTGGACAGCATCTTAGAAAGGAAGGGAAACTAAAGAACTGGTGAAATAGAGAAGGGAAGAAAATGCATGCAAATTTTAGATTTTCCTCTCCTGACTTAATATACTAATACACTTCCTTTGTTCTTATGTAAAGTCAGTTAAGTTTTTTGTTTGTTTGTGTAAAGAACTTTCCTCCAACTCATGCTTCCATAGCTCTAAAACGTGTTCTCATACGTAATTCTCTATGGTAACTGTAGATGGTGATCATAATCAACTTTCACATTTCAGACAAATGGTAACTGAAAGGAGAATGCAGGGGAAGTCAGACACAACTTCTGGAGTACATTAGTGTCATGCATTTTTCAATTCCAGTATTTTAAGACTACTGACCAGCACAGAAAGCAAAAGTTCCTTGAAAAGGGAAGAGACAATGATATGAAAAGGATAAGATTGTCATTTAATTACCCTTAAAATACTGAATTTACTTGAGAATGCAGCACGTCATCATACAGTGCATCATAGCAAACAAGATTCTAAAACGTCTCAATTAACATAATACAAAGCAGAAAAATCTATACACTGCAATTATCTGTGATAGACATTTTTAAAAGTTCCAATAATTATTTAAAAGCTTTCAATAAAAAGTTTAAACACATTTAAGTTTCAAAAGAATATTTTGTACATTTTGGAAAAATATAACATTTACTTTACATAACTGAAACATAAGTTATATTCTTTGTAGTTTGTAAGCTTCCATTATTCATACATTCTCTCATACATTTTCTTTTAATACCTCCTTTTCTCTAGATTGTAGATCTAATGCAAAAGTATCACTATTCTGAAGAAAAGCTTGTTTCTGCATTAGTTTCCTGAAAAGTCCATTTGGATTTGCAAGTAGTTCCTCATGTTTTCCACATTCAAGAATTTTACCCTGGCCAAGGACTGCAACAAAATCAGCATTCTGAATAGTAGACAGACGATGAGCAATAATTAGGACGGTCCTCCCTTCCATCAGCCGGTCGAGAGCTTCTTGCACTAGATACTCATTTTCAGCATCCAAAGCACTATTAAGAAATGGGAAGCAGGGAGGGGAGAGAGGAGGAGATTGGTTATTTTAACACAGGTTAAGACTGCAAACCCTTGCTATTGTTGGTGAAGATGAACCAATGGCACTGCAGGAAAGTTTTGTGAATATGCTAGTGCACATATCCAAGTTACGGTCCTTGCGTATTCTCATATGCAAAATATGCTTGGAGAAATAACACTAAATTAATTCAGTGAAAAAAAAAGTTATACTGCAGTATAATCATCTCTCTTTTACACTAAGGTCTTCATTTAAACTAAAGATACAAAAAAGCTTTAAGTGAAAGTTTCAAAAAATCAAGTTACATATTACAAATTTAACTCCATGAAAAATTACAACAGAGTGTACCAGTTATCTTTTCCACTTTGCATAATCAGCTTTTATCATAGGTCTCCTAACTAATTCACACATTCTAGGAAGCACATTGTTTTTGTGGATAGAGAAAAATAAGGGGCTAGATAGTGTGTGCAAGGGCACGCAGAGAAAGAAAGAACACCTCCCAGATCTGAGTTTTACAGATATATCATTTCTAAGTTTCTATTTATTTTCTTTCTTACCTTGTTGCTTCATCTAACAGAAGAATTTTAGGATTCTGAAGAAGAAAGTAGAATTTGTTATAAGAACAATTAGACAAGATCCGAATATTTCTATCAATAGAGAACAGGATTCATACAGCTTCAAACTCCCAAGTAAGCGTACTTACTTCATCAAAAGAACTGAGTGTCATTCAAAGCGTTACTTTTAAGAAGTCTAAATGCTAAGAGCACGGAACAGAAACAACACTCTTCCATTTTCAAATTTTCCAAACTAAAGTAACAGAACACTATTACCCGATAACTATTTGAAACATACAAACTAAAGATGGGAGATGATTTTTAATGCATACTTGGCAGCATTGTGGTAAAAAGTTCAATTTCCTATTTACTGCTCTTGTGTGGATCTTTCAGAGAGGCTCAGTCACCCTCTGCTGGCAGTCAGTCTGCTATATGTAACTGTCTAGTAACAGTAAAAAAACCCTACCAACAAGCAGCATTTCACCCACAGATGAAATACGTAGTACTTAAGAACTAGCATTTAAGAACTCTTCCCAATTAAATAAAAACTAAACAAATAAACAAAAATTGCCAGCACTCGAACAATCACATCCCTAAGAAGATTCTTCTGAACTACAGCACATAACCCAAACTTCATTGATAAAGTTGAGAGTAAAAGCTTTAGACTTCACATGGAAGAGAAAGGACTCCACCACACTCCCAATCACATATATATCAACTACTAATTTTTTACAACTTCCCCTCGCCACCATAAATTCTCTACTCCATGAACTTGACATGAAATGCAATCAGCTTTCCAGCATTTGTGGTAACAGAGAACTGGTGTAATAAAAAATACCCAGTAATCTAGCAAAAGTAGGCATGCCAGGATGCTACCGCGACCAGTGCACCTTAATGTGAATGTAAGCTGGGTTCGGCAAGGGTCAAAACTTCCAGCTGAGCATCAGCACCAGACTGCCTCCCTCTGAGGCCCCATGGCTTTTCCCTGAACCTTACTCTGTCCTTCTCATCCTCAGAAGCCTGCTCAAATGTGTGCAGCACAGAGCCTGCCCTAAAGCTAGACCCACGCCAACCCTTGAAGAAAAAAAAATGACAGAACATTGTGCCCGAAATAGTATCTTGTCCCAAATCCAGGCTAGATCCCCTCAAAGCCAAGTCAGGGCATCTGTAGTGCTAGTAAGTTGCAACCCATAAAAGTCAACCCATGAATGACAGAGATCTGAACACAATATATGAGTTTACTAGCACCACATTCACAGTCTTCCTTTATCCTTGACCTGGTCTTACGAAAGTGAGTCATTATACAATGATTTACCATCAGTCTGGGCAAGAACTATCAAAAAACATGACTGAAAGATAGGAAGAAGCATTTATAGAAGTAAATTGTCTTTAGTTAAACCACTCAGCCCTTTCAAACTTCCTCATTAACATTAACGATATAATTTTCTTCATAAAAATATTTTTCCATCTCTCCCATTGAAATACTTCTTCCTTTTTAACTCTTCCCACCTCCCACAAAGTAGTTAAATAACTATTTGGATGCTATTTGGATGCTGGCATACCTTCAGCAGAGCTCGAGCAATTGCAATTCGTTGCTTCTGTCCACCTGGTGGAAAAAGCTCAATAAATTGAAACAGGAAAACAGCTGTGAAGTAATTTTAACTGAATGCCTGGGCTGAGCAGAATTAGGCACACGTACTTTACAGGGGATGGTGGGAAGGGAGATGAAAGAGGGACTTTTTTAATACTTATGGCAGTCTATGACTTGGAGAAAAAACTGGTAACAAAAAATAATAGCATTATTACTTCACTCTCTAGCATCAAGATTTTTAAAATAAGCAATACAAAGATGTACCTGAAAGCAAAATGCCTTTTTCTCCAACTACAGTGTCAAACCCTTTTGGAAAATCTCTGATAAAACTAGCAGCATTAGCTATTTCAGCAACTCTCTCAATCTCCTCTGCAGTCACAGTAGAAGGATCCTCTGCACCATAGGCAATATTTTCAGCAATAGAACAGGAGAACAGAATTGGTTCCTGATAAATGCAAAAACACAACTCATATGGTAGGTCTGTAATTACATGCAAGTATTGTCTGTACCTCAAATACCTTCCTTACCTGACATAAATCCCACTGACAAGACCCAGCTTTAATTTTTTTACATATTCTCCTGTATGTATATAAGCTAGAGTTAATTGAATTAAAAACAAACAAATGAAAAATCCCTCTCCTAGCACCAAAATGGGCATTGAACCAATTAAAAAATAAGTTGCTTTTTTAACTGACAGAACATAACATAACCCTCAACTCCTAGTATTTGAGGAAGATTTCAGAAAGAGCTATTCATTCAAACATCAGAAAACCTCCCTTTGTATTTTACTGCTTATCATAATTTGCAACAATGATGATTCTTCTCTTAATCTCCACACAGATTTCATGGCATTTTGTGCATTTAATTTATAGTAAAGCTTAAAACAGAGAAGAGGACTGGCAGACAGGACAAGTGATGTACAATGGGAAAATGTCTGAAACAAGGTAAGCCTGCTCTGTTTATAAAATAGAGACATGCTATAGTATGTATCCCAGTATAAATCTCTTACTGGTAACTCAAGTGGAATACATACATTCAAAAAGAAAAATGCTAATGTGCCCACAGGAAAATAATTTTAGCACAAAAGCTTTTGGTGGCATTATTACATTAAGTAGATGTTTTGAAACGCAACATACGCCCAGTTATCCTTAATGCTTTTAACCAGAACATCAACGTAACAGTTAACTGCACAGTGAAGCATCTGAGGAGATGAGGGAAGGAACATACATATTATCATTGGTCAAATAGTTTCTTTTTAAGAGGTCACTGAACATCTCTCTATACTTCCATAGTTTGGGGGCGTTGCTAGGGAGGGGGCACTACAAGAGTAAGTGCCAACAGTGCTGTATTTTCATGCTTTCCTAATGGAATTGTGTTTGCCTGGAAACAACACAGAGCACAGAAGGTCAGTTTTCAAATGGTTGTGTAAAACATGATTGTGTAACTTCCATTAATAAAAAATGTGATTAAATGTTAAGGTTTGTGTTACTTTCTTCAACAAATCCTAGCAAACATCAAGATGGTCGTAACTATACAGTTTGCAACAATGTGCTTTCCAGTCTCCACACACACACTTTTCTCCTGAGCTAACACTTCGAATCTCTATGATTATCTAAAAACAGACTACAGAATAACGGGTCTAGCTCTGAATACTTATTTTTACAACAAAGCACGCACAATAGCAGTTAACAGTGAGATGGAGGGATTTCACTAAGAAGCAGGATTATATAATTTCAAAAAGAAGAAAGTGAGGCACAGCTAGTTGATCACACAAAATTATTTAATTTACTTACAATTTTTTTATTCCTTCCTTACCTGACTCACTGTTCCAATCTTTGTCCTGAACCAGAGTGGATTTAACTGACGGATATCAAAGCCATCAACAGTGATTGTACCTTAAATTAAGAAACAGTAAAGTCAAGTGTGTTTGACAAGTACTGAAAAGAGATAGAAAGAACAGTTGAGAACAACAGCCCCCGAGGAATCACATAATGGTGGATCAGAAATGCACAGTTATGCAGGCATCTCCACAAGGTATCTATACACCCCAGAGGGAAGCATGGTGCATCAGTGGAATAGTCACATGAGGACCTCAAGCACAGGAACCCTGACTGTTTATAAAATGTATCTGAGATGCAATGCATCAATTGTCATGGATAAGAGCGACACACAAAAACATACCTGAGATAGGATCATACAGCCTCAGCAGAAGAGATACAATAGTCGATTTCCCTGTACCACTTTGGCCAACCAGAGCCATAACAGAGCCAGCTGGAATTGAAAGGCTAAAATCTTTGAAAATTGATGTTTCTGGACGTGTTGGATACGCAAACTCAACGTCTCTGAATTCCAAAGCACCTCTGAATGTGTCTTTGCCTAATGTGATTCCCTCTGTATGACAAAGAATAAAATACAGAAAAGTAAACAGAAACAAAAATCAGCTCAGCCCTCCTAGAACTTGCTTTACAGACACTGGATAGAAATATCTATCTCCACGTTAAATCTAGGCACAGCTGCAAACCACAGCTGAGGACCACGGGGGTTATATTTCAGCCAGGACTGAATCAGTGTGGTACACCACTTGTTTCTGAATGCAATTTCAGGTTGCTCACCAGCAATGAACCCATAGGCTACCTACAGCAAGAGGGAGAATTTGCATCTTGCTTATACCTAACGACTAACAATGTTCACTTCTAGTAGAATTATCTGAGTTTTTAAGCTCATTATAAACAATTTAAGTTTTGTCAATTAGGACCAATGAAATAAAATGGCATTGCTGAAGGCCAAAGTCCCGTTGCCATAGAACACACGCAAAAAGATAAACATTGCAGATCACTTACTGCCCTTTCACCGAGCCACAAAAATCACCTGAAACACCCTCCCCTTTGGAAAAGAGCAGCTCCCTCTCCACTATCTGTTACCTGATTAGCTTTTAAGCAAAAGCTGTCACTGGAATAAAGCTGCTGCTGGGTTTGTTGCATTAATGGCCATTTTTTAGATATTTTTTTTTTTTTTAAGTGGAAAGTATATTTAATAAATTTAGGACAACAGTGTATTCGAAGACCAACCAGAGGCATAACTCTTAGGCAACAGTTCACCGAAACTGAAATTTCAGTTTGTGAAATATCATAACAAACCATTATGAATTCATGATTGCCAAAGTTAAATAAAACCAGCTTCTTTCTGGAGCGCAGCATTTGATTTAAACAATTATCTTGAAAGAATATCAGTACTCAGTACTAGCAAAAGCTTATTAATAGGTAAGACGGAAACAGAATTTCTTCAAACCCTGTTAAATCCCAGGGACACAAATCCATACAAAACAAACTAATTGGACAGTGGTGCTGCATTCCCGAAGGACAGTCTCGCTGGCGAAGTTCCTACCCGTTTTGTGAAAACTGGAAGCACCAGAGCAACACTCGAGTAGTGTTTGTTCATGCTTAAGACATGCAACTCAAAACTCTTAATTCTTTTCAGACGCAGCACACAAGTAACCCCCAAGTAGCCACAGCACATGGCAGCACATGCCCATGTTTGTTTAAACAGTAACTGTAGATAGGAAATACAGACACTCATCAATACCGATCAAGATTTCACTAGTCCTGCTGTTCCTAGAGCAAATTTTTTTTTTTTCACTTTTCTGTTTTTCTGTATTTCCTCCTATTCTCCAGGTTTTCAGTTTGATGGTAGAAGCATAGAAATGGCAAAGGCAATTTCAGACTCTTTCCTTGACTTTAATCCATGGACACACACATTGTAGCTTGTTTGTCAGGTAAAAGCACAATGGTCTGTAAACCTCCCCCTGGGAATAGAAATGTATTTGCTAAATCCTGTGCTTGCAGCATAATCCTTACTATTACCAAAGCAACAAGTAATCACATCTTTATTCTCAGTTTCAGTTATTGCACAGTCTATTCCATGGCCTGAAACACTGAAATCTACTGCAATACAGGAAGTCTGGTAGTACAAATCCTTCCTCTACATATTACTGTAAAAATATCCAAAAGCTATATACAGGATTGTGCTTGCTTCTTGATTGGATTCTAGATACAGGGAAGACTGACATTATAATTTGTTCTTGAGATAGAGTTCTGTGAAAATAAAACCTAAGTAGCCAAGAAAGTAGATGTTTCAGGTGGGTTTGGACAGTAGAGAAATAGTCTCTTGGCTTTGTCGTCTGATGAGCCAGAAATCAACTATAATTGGGTTTTGAGACAAAGGTTTATACCCTTTGCTATGTATTTAGTTTGTACTGAAAGGAAACTTAAAAGAAGCTTTCTGTGAGCCTATGCAAGGATGTCTAAAACTTTGTCCGATTTACGTTCCGTCTATAAAATAAAGATTGTTTTCTGGATGTCACTATTGGTGTGACTAAACAATTCAATACCTGCAGTGGGAAAGACAACTTCTGCCGCATTACTACTGCCTACTCTGCCCTGTAAAGATGAAGACCACTGAAATAACCCAGGTTTAAAAAAAAATAAAATAAAAAAATCCCATCCAAACGATGACGAATCCAACAGTTGCACTAGGTCTACAAAGGGCACAGGAAACTGCAGTGTGGCACTGGATGTCATGGCAGGAAGTTTAAGTCAGCTTCATTGCTAAACAGCGTGTAGCTATACCTTCATTGGTCAGTTGGTGGTTACCTTTAGGACAAATGGCTGCTATTCCAAGTCTGCCTCCATCCACTGGAGACAATGTTACTTTTCACTGCCCAAATGTATGCACACTGAAAAGCATCCTACAGACAGGCTTGCAACTGTGAAGAGAAATGAGGCAGAGGCCAAACTGGGACTTGGTGTCCATCAGATTAAGAACTTGAGAAATTCCAGTGCAGGGAGACAGAAGCAGAACAGAAATTTGAAGCACGGCATTTCAAAAGAACCCCTCCATAGCAATCATCTCAGAAGATGAAAATCCATTCTTTCTGTGCTGCTGTGGCAAACCAAGCCAACATTTGAGTTGCATCAACAAAGGCATCACCAGCAGAGAGAAAGAAGTCATTATCCCACTCCACTCAGTGCTCGTCAGGCCACACCTGGAATACTGTGCCCAGTTTTAGTCCCCACTGTACAAAAAAAGCTGTGGACAGGCTGGAGAGGATCCAGAGAAGAGTCACAAAGATAATCAAAGGACTGGGAAGCCTGCCATATGAGGAAAGGCTGAGAGAACTGGGTTTGTTCAATCTTGAGAAAAGAAAGCTTAGGGGAGACCTTGTCACCGTGTTCCAGTATTTAAAGGGTGGCTACAAAGAAGATGGAGGCTCCCTTTTTATAAGGAGTCACATGGAAAAGATAAGGGATTTTGGGTCCAAGTTACTCCTGGGGAGATTCCAATTGGACACGAGGAAAATTTTTCACAATGAGAACAACAATGAGCGATTGGAATAATCTCCACAGGGAAGTGGTGAATTCCCCAACACTGGACACTTCTAAGGTTCAGCTGGACAAGGTGCTGGGCCATCTTGCCTAGACCGTGCTTATGCCGAGAAGGGTTGGGCCAGATGATGCTATGATTCCATGATCCTTGAGGTCCCTTCCAACCTGATGTTCTATGATTCCCTAAAGCCAGAGCTCACTCAGAAAAAATCTGTTAGATCTGTTGGATGTTCTTTTCTGACTCTTCCTCTTAGAGAAGCCCTTACAAAGTTTCCAAATTAGAAGACCATCTAAAACTCGGAGAGAAACTAGTGTTGACAGCTCACCTGGACTGTGCTACATTGCATTTCTTAACAACACACAGAGCAGGTGAAAGCTTATGTACGACTTTTGCTAAAGTGGGATGCAGCTGATTAAATAAAACAGCAATTCACACAAAGTGTCTTCTACAAGCAGCTCACTGAACTACCTTGATGGATACTGGCAAATGCTGTTTATACAAAATATACTCAGTACTGGAGGGCATTGTCTAGCTTCTGAACAATAAAGCTGTAAATAAGGTGTTGCCGGCAATATATTTTTATTTACTATATTGCAGTATTATTAAATATTCTAAAATAATTATACTATTTTAATAATTAAATATTTGTTTTATGTGTATTAATATTTTTTATTTGTTTAAATGTTACTATATTTACATATGTATTTAAAAGGCAGATTTATAGATGAAGTTTGCATATCTTCTTTTTGGAATTTGACTACTACATCAGCAAACTTCCACAAAAATCTAACACTTCTTAAAGGTGAGCACATTCTTCTATAACCATACTGACAAAAACAGATGTGATTTCAGGCTCACAAACCTATCTTTAGGCCTAAAGCAGACCATGAAAAGAATTCAGATGCAAATGACTAATTTGCCACAAAAATTGTTTGTTTCTTCTCACACTTCTACCAATGTCAAATGTGATTAATCAAGGACATTGCCTCCTCTTCAAGAAAACTTCCTTGTTCATATCCTTAGAACGAGGAGACTGCCTAGTACAGCAGGCTGCTCATGCAGCAAAAGGCCCATAGCTCCCTTACCCATAGGTGACTTAGGTAAGCCATGTGCTGAAGTGGCTCCTTGCCCCTCTAAAGAAGGGAGAAATGTGGGTAGAGCTACTGTGAGGAGAGGGGTACAAATCATTCCAAAAGCAACACCTGCTGCACCTGCACATCCACACTCTCCCAAGAAGCAGGATTCCTCAACTCAGCTCCACCCCTTCCCTTCCTTTCATTCCCCAGTCCTGCCTCAGTCCCCCATTCCCATGGCAGAAGAACTCAAAAATTCAGTTTGGCATGCGCTGCTGCAAGGCTTCAAACTGTCTGTGCTTGCAAGTTAGATTTCAAATCAGCATGTCTTACCAAGGAACTGTTTTCACTGGATCAATATGAACCTTTTAAACTTGAGATACTCAATGAAAAACATCTGGTTTTGAAAGCTTCTCTTTTCAAGACTGCTAATTCCTTAGCTATTAGAGATGAGCATGGTAAACCTTTTGGTAGAAATCAGGTACAGCCATCTCAGAGCTCCTCCATCCCCTCCTTTTTTCTTCCTTTCACTCTTTTTGCTCTAAAGCTGATCCAAGATAAAGCGGTGATGACATCGAAGAAATACTTCGAGAAGCCAGAAATGAGCATGTCTTCAGTCACGTAACATTCAAAGTAATATATTTAAAAGCATATTCTGAATAAAAGAAAAAATGAAAAATAATCCACCAAATTTTCAGCTTCTAAAATTTCTGATTAAAGGAAATTTCCATCATCTGTTTCATAGTTAGGAAAAGTTAGAAGAATTACCACTGTATCTAGTTTCTTTCAAAAGAATGTAAGTCGGTACTACCTTTAAGTATTCCACACATCCTTCTGCAGTACTGGTGACCAGTAAGAGAAAAATCAACCTATGAACAGTAACAAACCAAGGACTCACCATTAAACGGAAGTTGGGGCTTCCTTTCAATAAGTTCCCATAGACGTCCACCAGCACCTAGTCCTTTCATCAGCTCAGAATAAAAGGAACTTAGACCTAAACAAAAAGCAGAACAGTGTTATGTATCCATATGGAATGGAAGACATAGAATCATAGAATGGTTAGGGCTGGAAGGGACCTTCAAAGGTCATCTAGTCCAACCCCCCTGCAACAAACAGGGATATCTCCAACTAGATCAGGTTGCTCAGGGCCTTGTCCAACCTGGCCTTGAATGTCTCCAGGGATGGAGCATCCACCACCTCTCTGGGCAACCTGTTTCAGTGTTCTACAACTCTCATGGTAAAAAATTTTTTCCTAATATCCAACCTGAATCTACCTCCCTCTATTTTAAAACCATTACCCCTTGTCCTATCACAACAGGCCCTCCTGAACAGCCTCTCCCCATCTTTCTTGCAGGCCCCCTTGAGGTACTGGAAGACCGCTATAAGGTCACCCCGGAGCCTCCTCTTCTCCAGGATGACCAGCCCCAACTCTTTCAGCCTGTCCTCATAGGAAAGGTGCTCCAGCCCTCTTATCATCTTCGTGGCCCTCCTCTGGACCCTCTCCAGCTGGTCCATGTCCTTCTTGTGTTGGGGGCTCCAGAACTGGACGCAGTACTCCAGGTGAGGTCTCACGAGGGCAGAGTAGAGGGGGAGAATCACCTCTCTCGACCTGCTGGCCACGCTCCTCTTGATGCAGCCCAAGATGCGGCTGGCCTTCTGGGCCGCAAGAGCA